CGTACTTCTCTGTTGGCAGAATACGCCCTTCTTCTTGCTCAACCTCCGTTAGGCCTTGGTCTAACTGAGGACGAAGTTAAGGGGATTGGAGAAATGAGTCTGCGGGCCAGATTCACAATGGGTTCTAGTTAAGGTATTTCGCATGCATTATCTGTCTTCTCGCTTCAAAAGATAACAGGTTGCTGAGTTTCAGAGGCCACAATCACCATTATTGGTGCGTCCCACTTAGACATGAACGAAGTTGTGTGCTCACAGTAAGAAGAGAAAAACTGGTCATCGTACACGCTACTTCGGACTGACTATTTAATACCCAGTCTCCATTGATAGGATTTTTATTTATGTGAGGACAAGGAGGTGGTGATTGATACAATTAATAGCGTCACCTCTCAGTCAGGCGTTTAACTGCTTCCCTATCGCGAGAGGACTCCTCGTTGACCATGGGTCGAGATAAGCCTCCCTTCCGTCTTGTGGTGCTATGATGCTTAAGACGATAGTACGCAAGCTTCCAAGTTAAAATGCTGGTTGTTGGTTTTCAAGGCAACAGGTCTTGAAACATACAATCATCCGATGACTTGGAGCAACTCGAGCAGTGTCATAAATTTGTAAAAGAGCGAAACATCACCTACGAATACATAAGAAATAGCCAATCGGAGCTTTGTAATAACCGAACCCTAACCCCAAATGGATGGCGATGGATCATGTGCATGGTTATCGATTATATGGTTATCGATTATCGATTATCAAGCACTCCCAAGCCCACTCGTGCTGTAGATTGATTTTAAAGTGCACGAGTGGCAGAAAGATGAACATTTTACATTCGACCTTTGCATGTGAGCTCCTGCCAAGCTCCTGCACCATTCCCCTTCATCTAATTTTTATCTGACTGAAGCCAAACAGGAAAACCACCACACCCAAAAGTACGTAACCCTGTTCGTGCGACGCACAAAAGGTACCTGCACACATCGCGGCCAGGAAACTCCGACTCCTGCCATTTACCCAACGCACATGCATCAAATACATCAAACAACAAGCCACCAACTGTCTCAGGAGGGGTTGAAGCACAAGGCGTAGAAATTGCGCAGCGTGTCTCTGCAAACCTACATACGTACAACTGCAGAATTACCGAGACTGCGACACCCGCAATTGAGGTTCTACCTCCGTCTTCCGTTCTAATTTGTAGAGGAACTCTTTCTTGCCGGTCGTTTCCCAAGGGGACAGTACTGACCCTGCACTCGAATCAAACAAAACAAGGCGATGCACGCAGGCAACACGCAGGCGCTCCGTGACATTCTCTATTTTTAGTATTCAATTATTCCCGGATGCGAAAGAAATGTCGATTGTATGGAATATGGGCTAGAGTCGTCTCGTCCCGTTACACAACAGTCGATATCGATTCTTAAGGACACCGGCCGGCTGAGTAGCGGCGTTTTGCGCAGACGGTTTTCTCTCTCCGATTTCTGGCCCTTATCATGGGCTCCTCGGATTTCAGTCTTTACTATCTGCTGCCATATCTTTAGTCATCCCGAATCGGCATGCATGGGCTCAGTGGCTTCGGCGCGTATCATCTCTCATTGCATCGGTTTTTGCCAAAGAAACAGAACAAAAGTGAGTCCATGTTTCTCCCACTTCACGATTCAAATTATGCAGAATTAACTTGAAGGTGAAGGGGTGGTGACATGACTGAACATGATGACGTTGAGTCTGGGATTGGCACCTCGGCCCTTGATCATCACAGCGTCTCCCAGCGTCAAAAATAATGGACACATGGCAATGTTTGCAGTTTTTGATTCCGGTACCCACTTCTTCTGACAAGCTATATCATGTCAAGGTACTGAACGGAACCCATTCTCCGCCCTCGCGCTCCCGATTCCGCATCACCTTAAGGCTTAGACATGGCGACGCTCGCTCCGCTCATAAATTATGTGGCTGCAAAACGACTTGCTACGGTGCGTATCTATATGTCTATAAAGTCCTCCTTCCCCTCAAACGAAAGAAGAACAGTCATTCGATGGTAAGCCGCGTAGGACGATTTCGAGCTTCTAAAGCTGATGAGTCTTCGCAGTTGCGGCGGCGATGTTGTTGGTATATGACTGCTCACTGACGTTGGGGATGGAGATTGAGTTTATGTGGTCATCGCCCTGGGGGTTTATGAAAGTGCTTTATATGCTTCAGCGATACCTGCCTTTCTGTGATTCGATTTTTTTCTGTCTAACTCGTGAGTACATGGAATACCTCTCTCGCTTTACAATATTTCACTACTTTCTTTTCTAGACCAATTGGCGATTAATATCGACCCGTATGGTTGCCATATCGTTGAAACGATACGAGGAGGTATGCATTCTCTTGAAGACGTGGTCGTTTGGCTCATTGTATCGTAGGGTTGATGGTTTTTGGCATGATTTTGTCCGAAGGTGCGAATTCTCTTCGTTTTATACTATGTGATGTGCTTAATGGTGGCTGTTCCTAGTAATCTTGTCCCTGCGCGCATGGGCAGTATGGAAACGAGATCTGCGTCTGGGTGTCTCTCTGATATCCCTAATTACGCTCACAACTATGGCGGAGATATATGTGACGAGAATCTTCCTTCGCGACCTGCAATGTGTGTCCACCATCTGTCATATTTAACCGTCATCTCACCGCAATTGACACCCCATGTGAAGTCAGTACAAAGCCATATCCAGAATTTGTAGGTTGCTTTCTCACCAGCGCAAATCACATCGTGTATTTGGATTGGGTTGTATTGATGATTTACGAAGCTGGTAAGCATTGATTTCTACATTGGTGTAAGGCATCCGCAACTAATTGTATCCCAGTAATACTGGTCTTGATGATAATTCCTGGAATTGCTTCCTGTAAGACCCATACATTATCTAATTTCCCCTTGCCCATAAGCTGCCCTTTCAGATCGGCGAGGAGGGAATGTTGATCTGTATCATGTCATATATCGCGACGGTAAGATATTGAATTTCACTCGAAGAGATGTAGCTAAATTTCCTTCAAAAATAGGGATAATAATGTATATCTACCTTTTTGGTAAGCGATGGTCGGCACAACGCATTCGTTGTGTGCTAACGGAGCAAAAGCTCTTTCAATAGTCAACGTCGTATTCATGTGCGCGCTCTCTGTAAGCCTATACATTGCGTCTTCGTCTGACCAAACTCACAACCAAATTTCTGCAGACGAACTATTTCGCAGTTATTTCTAAGTACGTTTATGTTCTGCCTTTACGTGCGAAATGACTGAAGAAGCCAAGTGTGGAACGCGTGCTCCATTCACTGTTGACGAGTAGGGTCGTGCTTCATATTCGAGAATGCATAAAAAGGCAACAACCATCGTATACCGATGGTCTTACAGACCTACACGTTGACCTGGATGCTAGCAAACCAGAAAACCGATTCAGGAAACGATGGAGAGCATAATACGCTTTCATATATCCGGGAATGAACCACCCGCCTGTTCAAGCTTTTGGATTAATGCACAGGTAGTGTAATCCGGCGCAACATCTAGAACGTAGAATACATATTTTTAATCCTAGACCGAAGAACATATATTTGTTCTCCATATGCCTTGCAGCGAGACAGCTTTCATGTAAATACCTTAAATCCAAACGACGTCATTCGATATTCGTTTTTAACCGTGGGCGTGTAAGGTTGGCGGGTATGTTCATCGAGTTGTGAATTCAGTGCCGTGAACAATCTTGGATTCCGTCGTCGCACTGAAATCCAACATTATTCAAATTAAATAAAATTTTACGAAAGACAGAGTTTACATTTTTACCCCGGTCCTTTGGAATTCGGAACTTTAACACATCAGGGACATGAGTATGGCGACAAGTATGTAAATTTTGAGCCATTCGACCCGTCGAGATCGTCCGTGAGCTGGAATATTTAAGATGGTGTGAATGGATCTTTGTAGTCTCCCTATTTGAGCAGTGGTTGATGCGGCGTATCGGTTGTGAGGTATAGCGCTCTATTTTTGCTTCTGCGGCGATGTCCGATTTTTGGAGCGGATGGAATCTATTACAATACCTTATATTAATTTTTTAGAATGCCCACGCGTGAGTTGGAGTCGGATGTACGAGTGACCTCGTTAAATTACTTATTCATAGACCTGCGAAGGTATGCGCCACGATGCCATTAGGCCAGATGTTGGGAAGTCGTACGGTCGCGGTTCTTGATGAAATGATGTTGACAGATGTTTGCGAATGATGACGAGATGTGTCCTGTCACGTGTTGACGCGTTTTTACACTGTCAATGTCCTTTCTTGAAATTGACGCCCACATTTCAGCAACATCAACATCTCGGTTTTAGATGTATACTCAGTAAGAAACGAACTTATCTACAAGATGGGCTACTTACTTGCCTGACGATTCCAGATCCAAAATGTCGCGTTGACAGGGACTGGTCAGCCGGGTAAGACCCGACAGCAGAACTATGTAAAGAGAGCGACTCCTTTTACGTCCTCCCTCATTTCTATCTAAAGTGAATGTCTCCTTACAAAAACGAACTCCACGCTTTCGATGTTGACGAGCGTGCTAGTTTCATGCCTCCCTCTCCTCCACTGACCCGCCTCCCTCAACTCTGGGAGTTATGGGAAACTATACTAGATGCTGCCATTCATGCGAAATTGCAGCTTGGGGGTAAAGTTGGTCTTGCTGTTGAGGAAGCTGAGGTGTCAGAGGCATGGCGCGTACGTGTTCGTCAGGTGCGTGGTTTTGCTGGCTTGGGTTTCAAGGCATAAACTGACTGCGTTTGACAGCTGCCGGTCATACCCATTTGCGAACTGGATTCACCCATGCTTCTACGTCGAGCCCATCTTGTCTTGGCTTATACTCTTCATTTATACATCCACACTCTCCCGCTGACGTCTCCCATCTGTATACCCAAGCCCATATCTCTTCCTCTTAACAAGAAAGCAAACGTGTTGGTGCATGTATTGGGAAAGAGAATATTATAATATGGCTTCCAGGTGGATTAAGTAGGCCTCAAAGATGGACCTCGACTCAACGTCAAGGTGAGCTTTCGGATTTGACAGGGCTTTCCTCGTCTTTTCGTTTTTTAATTGCTACTTCGCTGCTTGGGGCTTCCTCGAATGTGGATGACGGAGGCGGCGTAGTACTTTGCTGAGAAAATTTGAGGCTGATCGTTTGACTTGTTTCAACTAGCCGAGCACGTTTCCGGCTATTCAGAACGGTAAGGAGCACGTTGGAATACCTGTTCGAATCAGCATCTCTTAAAAGACAATCACAGCTCAAAAACAACTTACAAGCCCCCCAGAATGTAGATTCTGGAAGATTAGACGTCAGTAGTGTTTACACCAAGTTTATTGCTTGACTTACATGCCAACTCGGTTGAGTGAATCTGCCGGAGATCTTAAATATAAAATTAGTTGAACGAGAGTCGCGATCAGAGTGACGGCGCTGGTCTCTAAAGTTACAATAATGAGACGATCAATGATACACTTTGTTGGCTTGAACGAGGATTCTAATTTTGCCTGTACGAGCCAGAGAAACAGAAAGAATTTGAATTAGTTTAAATTACACCAAGGAGAATGGGAGTACCAGAAATGTCATAGTTGCGACGATGATGAAATCACAGATCAAGGTCCCCCATAACCAAAGCTTTTGTGGGGAAGGTTGAGCAATTCAAGCATGTCGAGGTATGGCAAAAGGGAACGTACCTCAGCTGAAATGTCTAAAGTAAACTGTCAGTTGATCAAGCTTGCAGATTGAGTGCACTATTATCAAACAATGAAATTTTTGCTGTGAAGTTATTCTGAACCACGTACAGCTACTCCACAGGCAATCACAGCCACTAGTTGCATACTCGCCACCTATAAAAAGGTCAATGGATGTAAAATAAACCAGGGAAGGCTGTTAACCAAACAGATGATGCTTGAAATAATTTGATAGATTATGAACCTTCTTTTCAGGGTCCATATTTGCCCAGAAGGATGTTGGAGGTTTTTTTTTTTTAATGTCAAATTAGCGTCTAGCGGGGCAGAGCCCCATGTCAGACTTTACAACTCGGTAGACTACCTAAGGCCCCTAATGCCATATGTGCCTGACCCCCTTAAGATCACCCCATGCACTGGTGGAGGCACGCCTGCGGCGATTCTTCCCCCACACAGCCTGGCATGGAAACACCGTTTTGGGGTGCATCTAAAAACGTGGGCGGGGTAGTCTCGTCATTTGCCTATCTGTGCAATCCATCTAGTGTGATGTTTCGTCTTCTAAGTACCCAATCTTGAAAGACAGGTACAGCCGATGGGACGAGCATGGTCAGGGAAAAAGAGAACATCATGTTTTTGCTGTGTGCTTGAGTTTCCTGCTTGCATGTGAGTCTGCCGTTATGTTACTTGTGCTTGAGGTCCGCAGGCTGAGAAGCGGGTAGAGTGGTGGAGATGAGGGGGGTAGAGAGAGGGGGGTATATGTTTGGGCGAACCTGCTGCCTGGGGCCAGCTTGGCTGTCGAGACTTGCATTGACGTCGTTAGTTCCTATATAGAAATAGGAAGTGCTTCCTGTCAGGCTTCCTCAGTCTCTAGATGAGACACGTCACCTATTGCATCTCCTAGCGTCGTTCTGAACCTGGCTGTCCTCCCCACATACTTCAACAGCTCCTTGATTCTGTTGAAGTCCTCCAGTATCCCCTTTAGGTCTCTAGAATGTCGCCCTAATGCCCTGTCCATGTCAAATCTTTCTGTCACATACACTTGACACTCGAAGAAGTAGTGAATGACTGTTTCTGTAATCCACAGGCGAGCGGCACCCCAACAGGAGTCGCACCGCCAGTTCCGTGATTTCTTGATGCGGTAGAGATATCCATTAAGGGGGATGTGTCCTGTACGTATCTGTATTAGCAAGCTCATCTGCGATCTTGACAGCCTGTTGCTGATGTTTCGGAACTTGTTGAAAGGGAATCCCACGTCGACGTGTTGAAACCTTGCGTAGTGTGGTGATGCTTTCCATGACTCCAACCATCTGACCTTCTGTACCTCCGCATACTCCTGTTTGACTGCCGCTGCGCTGAGCGGTAGATGCTTGCAAAGGATTGGTGGAAGTTCCTCAGGGGGACTCGATTCCCCCTGTGCTGCTCTCTTTGCCTCTTCGTCCACCCTTTCATTGCCTACTACTCCCTTGTGCGCTGCGATCCACTTCAGGGCGAATTTGTCCATACCTGTTATGCTGGGGTTGTCAGTGCCGTTATCCATTAGCTCAGTTAGCCTCATGTACTCCAGGACCAGGTATTGCCCTGGCCCCAACTTCCTCGCTCCTGTTGCTCTGATAAAGGCTTGACTGTCTGAGTAGCTCGTGATCGCCGCCTTCCCAACCTCTGGCTGCCCTTGAAGCAACCATGCTGCGAGTATGGACCCTACAGCCTCACCCTCATACGTGGTATGTTTCTTGAGCGATCCCAGGTGGTAGCGTAGAATCTTCACAGGCTCCACAAACCCTTTCCTGTAAAGTACGGCAGTGGCTCCTATGTTCCCCTTGTACCCTGACCCATCTGTGTACACTCTGATGTCGGACTTGTCCTTCTTTTCCTCCTTGGACTCCGCAATCGTCGCCATGAAAGGCCTTTTGTAGGTCGGTGGGCATGGGTCTGGCATGATTGTCTCAAAACGTTGTGGCTTGAGCTTGTAGAGCTCTATCAACTTCTGTAGTGGGGTAAGGTGAGTTTTAGCTGGGGCCTTACTATACCCTTGGACCATGGCTCGTATGGGATGACCCCTTGGAAGAGTCATGGCTCGGACGGTCGCCGCATGACAGATGCGTTCAAGCATCAGGTTTACTGGCAGGACTCCGGCGTGAGCATCCAAAAGATCGTTGGGCGATGTCCGCAGTCCTCCTGTAATTGCCAACATGGCTATCCGCTGTATCTTGCCCATGGATCGTTGTGACCTAACTGAACCTGTATTCCTCTGCTTGCCCTCCTTCTTGTGCGGAGGTACAAACCAGGTGTCCAATGCATAGGTCATCTTGGGGATGGCCACTGAGACATATAGCCTCTGCATGAGCCTGGGCCGAATACCTAAACTGGTCTGAGTTAGTCTGCGAAACATGAGGATATATGCTGTGGCCTTAGCCATCGCTTCATTCTCCTGTGTCCTCCACCTCAACTGGCTGTCGACATGCACTCCCAGATACTTGTAACTCGCCACCTCCGTGATTACCTTCCCCTCCAACAGAAGCACCAGGCGCAGATGATCCGTTGGCTTTCTTGGTCCTGGCTGACAATGCATTATGGCAATTTTGCTGATCTCGAACTTCAAATTGTGGTCCTTTGCCCAGTTGAGTCCTCCTTCTCTTCTCTCCATGAACCTTTTCAGCGCTCAGGTCATCTCCTTGAAAGTTTTCGCTGTCAAGATCACTAGGGCGTCGTCCACATAGCCGATGGCATCTTCGTCCAACCTATGTAGAGCTTCCAGCAGGTCTGCGTTGTAGATTACGTATAAGAGCATTGATATAGGGTCGCCTTGTCCTATGCCATTCATGATGTCGATGTATTCTGAAATGAAGTCATTGAATTTCATCTTGGTCCTCCGTCCTTCTAGTAGCCGCTCGATGAACTTGATGTAGGCAGCTGGGATTCACCGCTTTTTCAAGTTATGTATCAACCTGTCAGTGACCGCATTCGGGAAGGCCCCTTCGACATCTAGGAAAAGTATTGAAGTGACCTTCTTCTTACCCCACGCTGATTTGACCTTGTCAACCAGGTAGTGTATGGCATCTGTCGTGGTGCAGCCAGGGCGTCCTCCAAAGTGAGTGTCAGGTAGCAAAGTGTTCTTCTCCACCAAATGGGCTATATCTTCTGCTACAATGGCTGTCAGTACCTTGGGAATTGTACACAGGAGGGCGATCAGCTGATAGGCCTTTGGCACTTCGTAGCTTGGTTTGCCTGGCTTCCTCAGCACTGCTGTCGTAAACTCGCGCCACCCTGGAAAGTAAGTTCTCAGCGTGAATACTCCCCTGTATAAATGAATCAGGTAGTCTAGCAACTGCCTGAGACACTTTTGCAGGACTACATTGGGGATTTCATCAGGGCCGCTCACCTTGAAGGGTGAGAGTCTCTTGATCTGACGTTTGATCTGTTCTGAGGTGATGGGCGATGGCGAGGGGAGTGGGTCGGGGTAGTTATAGTTTTCAGGAACCCTTGAGGCGTCCGGTTTCTTCGGGAAGAAGACATGGGCCAGGGCCCTCGCCTTGCCTTCATTTGTGTTGATTTCCTGTAAGAGACTGTGTGTGCCTTCATCGGCTACCTTGAGCGTTGGGACCCGTGATTTGCCTCCGTCCCCTGTTGGCTCTTTGAGGTATCTGTTGGCCATCCATAGGTCCTGTTCGGCCACGTTCTCAAGGAAGTCTTCCCAGTGTTGTCGTTTGGCGTCAATTATTGCATCCCCATACTCATTTCTGGCTGCCCTCAGTTCTATATGTGTGATGTGATCTGGTAGTGCCCTAAGCTTGTAAGCTAAACAACTTAGCTTCTTCATCCTTGTTTTCTTTAAGCTAAGGCTGTTGTTCCACCACCTCTTCGAAAAAGAGGACGGGGTGTTTTCTGGGACTCTGGTCCGGATCATGTCCTGAAGTACCGCTGTTAGGTTCTCAGCTGCTTCTTGGAATTGCTGATCTGATCGTAGTCGCTGGGGGGGCGGTATCTCGAGCAGGCGAATGGCGAGGTTTTCCTGGAAATCTTCCCAGTCCACAGCCCTAAAGTTGTATGATACCTTGGGGGTTATGCACTCCTGTGGTAGAGTCATGTAAGTCGCTAGGGGGAAATGGTCAGTGGCTGGCAGCCTGATTGAGGGGTCGACCTCGCAGTGAATCACTAGGTCATATATGTCTTCTGTGCACCAGATGTTGTCGGGGCAGGAGAACTTCTTGGTGACCATGTGCTCCAGCATCGGCTGTCCCTTCGGGAGGGCCATCTTGAGGTTCAGGTCAGCTAGAAGTTCTATTAGCTTGCCCGCGTCGTCCAGCGCCCTAGGCGTGAAGAGCCTATCATCCAACTCATTGTCCCACATTGGGTGGTGTCTGTTGAAGCCTCCAGCCCATATCAGGTGGTCGTCCTCCCTCAATCAAACCTCGGCGTGGTTTGTGCGTAAGAACTCACGGACCACCCTTAGCGTTCTTGAGTGTGTGCAGTCATTGTAGATGTTGATGATAGTGAGTCATCCGTATATTCCTGCCAGCTGTATGGTGGTGATGTTGTTGGTGCCCGGTACGTTCAGGATCTTCCACGAGTTTGTCGCCAAATCTGAGCTGACCCATGTTACTGCCTTAGTCGCTGGTGCTCCATCCTTGTATCGGTCCACTGGGGCGACCATTACATATCCGTTTGGTGTCCTGATGTTACCCATGGCCGTCACGTGAGGTTCTTGTACTAGTATGATGTCCCAGTCTTTCCTCGACAATTTGTTGTATAATTCTAGGTGCACCTTGGATGATTTGTTGAGATTGATTTGCAGGATTTGTAGTCTTGTTATCGAGGATTCTGGTGGTTCAGACATGGGCTATAGCTATGGGAGGGGAGCTGTCAGTAGGGGTCGAGCTGCTGCTCTGTGCTGGGGGGGCGAAAGGGGACTCTGGATTAGGAAAGATGGGGGGAAGAGACTCAGCTACTGGGGTCTTCGAATGTTGGCGTGCCCTTGGCGCCCTGGTGTAAGGTCTTCCACCTGGGACTGTGGGCTCGAAACCTAGTTGTGTTTGTCTGTATCTGGTCTTCTGGGAGCCTGCTTGTGCGTCGTTGACCTGTATCTCCGCCGGTGGGACACGCTGGCTGTGCAATGGATAGAACGGCACCCACGTCCATGACTCCCTAGCTGGAAAGAAGGATAAGTCATTAGCTGGGTCCCTGGCATTGAGATCCTCGATCTTCTGGAGGAACGTTGGACAGTTGTGGTCCCAGCTGGTGTGGTCATCTGTCTTGCATGAAGTACAGAAGACTGTCCCCTGCTGTTCGCACTTGCTCGTCCAATGGTCCCTTGCCCCACATGTGCCGCATATGTTTACGTCCCTGCTGACGACGCACTCCGCCGCAATGTGGTCCCATCCTTGACATTTGAGGCATCGGATAGGCTCCTTCCTGCTCTTAGCCGCTGACACCCTTTTGTTGCATATTGATAACCCATTTACTATCGCCCAATTTGCTGAGTCCGCATCTGAGAAGGTGACGAAGACGTGGGCAAAACGTTGATCAGTCCGCCTTCGAGCAGGGGGCTTGATCCACCTCAGCTTCATTATGGCGCCCTTTGGGAAGTTGTTAGCCTCCTTGATCTCCCTTCTATCCTTTTCACTGTTAGTATCCAGGTTCAAGGGCACGTAGTAGGCGATGATGTTGTATGACCTCGTCTTGAACGAGGCTTCTGTCTCCCCTAGCTCTCGCAGGAAAGATTCCGCGTTGGGCTTCGTTGCCAGCCATGCCACGCCTTCGTCAGTAGCCATTTCTATCAAGATTCCACCGTTCTGGAGCTTCAACGCCGATCTGACTTTGTGCTGTAGAGCTGTCGCCCTACCCATGGCCTCTGAAAACTTGCCCACTAGAACCAGGTTGGTGCAATCCCGTAGTCTTGATTCCCTGGGTAGGTTGACCAAAGATTGTCCTTGTCTTATGCTTTCTTTTGCGGCCAGCCTAGGGTTAGCATTTAAGGGGGCCCCAGAGGTCGCCCTAATCAGCGCATCCCTGTAAGGCGAGCTGGCTGTGTTCCCTGCCTGCTGTGTCACCTTTTCCACCACCTCTGCCAATTCCACTGTTTTCTCTGTCAGTACCTCCATCTTTTTCTCCAGCTCCTCCATGACCTTCACCCTCAGCCCCTCTGTGAACTCTCTCAAGTCGCTGGTCAACTCAGTGAACTGTGTGATGGCAATGTCCCTGATGTCCTCTGCCACCGCCCCTAATTCGACATCCCTTAGCAGAAAAGTGACCGCACAGACTGTGTTGATCGCAGGGAGGGCTACTCCTGGCAAAGCCGCTATCTGACAGAGTGCCATAGCAAGTGCACCTAGGGTGAGCGGTGCATTTTGTGGAATGAGGAGCAGTTTATCTTCGAGGTAAGACCTCCCCTTTTCTGAGTCGCCTATTTCTTGTTCATCTTTGTCTATCTCTGCTGAGCCCGCAGCTCTCATTTTCGCTCGTTCCTGTACTTCTGGTTTGGATGTTCAACCTTGTCGAGTGGTTGTCACTTTACCTTTTTGTGGTGGAGCCTGGCCTTTGGCCTTCACTCCAGTCCCAGACATGCTCTGAGAGTGTTATTAGCTGGTTTGACAATGGTATAAAACTTTTAAAAAGCTGTATGTAGGCCAGAATTGCATGTTGCAGTCGACGAGTCGCCCAAAATTTTTCAGGGTCCTAGTCGGGGTGCCACGTGGTTCAGGTCCAAGGAAGGTCCTTTGATGTTGGAGGTTATGGGTGGAAATGAGGTTTTATGAGGACTCACCAGGCAAAAAAGATCTGAACAATGCAGGATTCTATTGATGGCGAGGTCAGTACGTCGAAGGATCAATTAAATAGAAGACTCGCCTATCCCGGTGAGTGGTACGGTAAAGACAGGAAACACAGAAGGGCCAAAGAAATTTGTTGGGTTTCCCCATGCAACTACTAAGCTTTGCCAAGCACCCGCAGTCACAGCCATCGACCGCACCTGATCAACGGCGAGGCATACCCAAACTAACATATGACACATGAAGGCGAGACAACAAAGATCGCGATGATGCGCACCCACTACTTTGATGGATTTCAAGTCTCTACTCAAATGATCGGTGCAGAAGAAATCGTCTGAAAATTCGCAAGAGGTGAGGACGTAGTTGGGTTAAGAAATAGGGTGAAGTAAATGCACAGCATTGCACCAATAATGAACCCGACAAAAACCAAGTGATGATACTACTGATAAGCTGGAGGCAACTGTAAGCTTCTGCATTTGAAATTTTAATTCTGAATGACAAATGAGCGGTGTGGTACTGGTTGGTGTGTTTGACATAGCGAATTTCATCATCCACGATCAGCTTTTTCCAAAGGAAGTCGAAGAACCGAGTAAACTAAGTACTTACTCAAGAGAGTAATCTTTGCACAGGTGCATCATTCGGTTCACATGTTTCGACATTGAAGAAAAGTTGTAAAAGAGGGAAGCGTACCAACACATGGGTAGTGTTGGCGGGAACTCCACGGCAGGATTTTGATTTCTGACCAACTCAATTCTTCCACTTGCCAAATACACAAATACACTGATGTACACAAGGGGGTTCAAGAATTTAAAAAAGTAGCTGGGGTTGAATTTTTTTGTAAGGCCCTGTGTGCTTGACCTACCTACCTACGTAATCAGGCACATGTCTATATATGGCAATATGACATCATCATCATGATTGCTCTGATCCTCTAAGGCTTCGCATACCCAATTTCGTGGGGCTATCTCCAATGCAACACATTGTAGGTGGTACTAAAAAATAAGTGAGTGTAGTGATTAACTTGTGCAAGACTGATACTCACCTGTTGAGTCTCACATCCAACCCTTTTACATTTTACCAAGCCATTGCATCCTGAGTACAATACCACACTGCACAGGCATCTGTTTAGAGTGTCTGATGTGTCAAAAGCATCAAGATGATTCGAGTTTTGAAATCAGGTCACACAGCATACCCATTGGTGTCAAGAACTGGTCTCTAACTGTTTTGTCAGTAAATTGTGATTGATTAAAACATTAGACAAAAATTTGATGAAGATTAGACTGTGAAAAACAATTTTGAAGCCAGAAATTGGGCCAGATATAATGAAATATAATATCCAGTCAAGATAATGTACTATACAATGATATTTTGGATGCAGGAATACTGTAAATCACCTTGGAAACCCAATTTAGGACTATCTTATAGAGGGTTCCAAAAATCTTTTTTTCGGCCTATGGCTGACCTACCTACCCTACCCCTGGTCTGGCATTCAGATCCCTGAGCCCTCTTGACTTGAGGTTTGTACTTAGACTGTACTATCGAAGTTAGTTCAGACTCCGCACATCATGTGATCGCCTGTTGATTTTTGGAAGTTTATTGATCCCCCATCGATCATCACCCATACACACACTTCCTCTCGCCCCACCATTCGTCTGAAAATGTATTGATGACGCACTCTCAAGGCTGAGGATGGAGAAGACCTAAAAACCTAAACTACGGGGAACCGAACTATCTCCCCCTTTTGGACAATGTCTCTGGAGGCTCGAGACACAAGTGGTACGCTCGCTGTCTTTTCATTCGACAGCTTTGGCTTATCGTCCTCTGGCTTTTTACTATTACGACCTCTTCTCTCCGTCTCACTGCTGCCGTTGGAAGCTCCATCGTCACCGGTGATATGGTCGGGCCTACAAAAACGCTCCTATTCAACAAACAGTCACGAACCTCACGTTTACCTGCTTTGTTATGGGCTTCGGGCTTGGGTGCGTGTGTTTCTCCCTTCACGTTCTCTCTTTTGACATCAGCTATGCCTGTCTTCCTGACGTTTCCACCTACAGCTGCAAGTTCACTTAACCCGTACATCTCATTCACACGTCCTTGCACCCTACTAAGTCTCATCAGTAGCACTCCATCCCTCCCAACTTCCTCGCCCTCCGTAAGTCACCGCACCATTATCCCTCTCACCACACTTGTTCCAGCTCTCCGAACCCCCTCGCTTCCTTTGTATCAAGCCACACCCTGCGCAGAAATTTCCGCGTCATCAGGGGCACTGGCACCACGTCCTTGTTCTCCTTGCGCTCCTCACAGCCGGGGTCATCATCACCCTCTGAGAATCACCTAGAGCCCGCTCCAGATCAACCAAAGGACCATCAGCATCATCAGTCAGTGCTGCCGACGGGAGTGGCGGAACCCTACACTGGACAATCACGCTTTGACACAAGGTGGAGGAGTGATGTGCCCTGATTTGGCGTTGGCGTACCCTCAGGCACTGTGTGAGTTGCCTTGTTCCGGTAGTAGTTGAATAAGACTGAATCAGTTCTTCTAGTCTGTGTAATATCTTTCGTTCTTCCTGCTCAGAACGGTGGCAAGCCTGCATGCCCCATAAACCTACCGTCCACTCGAGTATTTGAGGGTGCATATTTCTATTCTCTGTCCGTTTTCCGAAACCCCAATTGCTCATTGATTTACAGACCTATTACCTACATGAATGTCCAATCGCTGTCACCAGTATCACAAACAGGCTCCTGGGCGCACTGACAAGGAAGTGGTGTGTAGGGGCATGACGGATTGGATAGAGGGAGAGATGGAGATGGTTCATATCTCAGACGTCGTGGTATCTACTGTTTATACGTTGCTTGAATAAGATTAATTTTAGTGCATCTGTGGTATGATAAGCATGAGTGAAAGACATGTAAAGATATCTTATGAAGCCAAAGACGGTCTTCACAAAGCTCTGTGTTCATCTTTGAAAGATTGTCGATGGTCCCTCAAAGATGACCATGTCTTTGAAAGAAAATGTACCTGTCTCCCGAAAGATGTGCAGTCTTTATGTCTTTGGAGTCTTTAGGTCTTTCCAAAGACCCCAAAGATCCCCAAAGACAACCCTCATGTTTTCCTGATAGGCTATAGGGCTACAAAGCCGAATCACGCCTAACGACAGGATGCGGCTACGTCTTCAGCTTGACTTCACAGACTGCTTTAGAACGGGGAATACCTGGAAGGTTTTGAAACCACCAGCCACAGACTCGGCGGGGAACAAATATGCATGCGAGGGTGTAGTGATTTCTGCCCCCCGTCTCACTGGCACTAGACCCGTTTCTGATCTATTTCTCCAGCAGAACTGCGCCCTTCACATTCAGGGCTACACTGGACAGACGGACCACCGGGCCACATATAGCAGCCCTTCGCTTGTTGGGTGCTCGTCGCCGTCAGAAACGATGGCGAGTGGTTGGCCCTATATACCGAGAGCGGCACCTCATCTATGGAAGGCACGTTGTTGGAATAGTACAATCCGGCATTTGCCAGTACATTCTTGCACTTAATTAATTAGTAATATTGGACTATTAACTTAGTAATCCCGAGTATGAAGATAACACTAGAATATGGTAGATACATAGTAATTAGGTATATAAGGACTGTAGAAACTCGTACATAATATAGTTCATCCTCAATTTCCAACACATGTTTTCTTTTCTCTCCTTCCTCAACTTAATGCTTATCGCCTCCTCTTCAGAGAGATTAACCAAGGGGGTGCCAGCATTGAAAAAAAAGACCCGGGGTCGATTTTTTTTTTAAGGCAACTTGAGATGGACTAACTAACTAACGTAATCAGGAACATGTCTATATATAGTAATATGACATCATTTGTGAGTGCTTCCCCTGTGTCTTGCACAAGTCATGCAGGCAAAATTCCGGGGTGCTTGCACATGTTCCACACATTTTAGATGGAACTAGGCAAATAACGTGAGTTGGAAAATCACTCAGTTCTCATAATACAATGTACTTACCCAGTGTGTCTCGCACACCTTGTTTGCATATGAGGATTTGATGAGGATACACAGCTACCACAGATTGCGAAGCCCTCCGCATCAAGGGCAGGTGGCTCCATCTCAATGGTGTGATACATAGAATGTGTGAAACCAATGTTAGACATACTGTAGATTTTAGGATATTGTTGGTCAACGGTAATTCAAGTAATGTCAAAAAAATGCCCAAATATGGCAGGAATTAATGAATATCTTATATCACGGTGCTTGATGGCCTCTATTGGAGCTGTATTCCTCCCAGTACATTCTGTAGTTACCATATTATGCTGCAAGGTACTCAACTTGATGATTGAAGGCCTTCTGCCCAAGGCATCCTTTTTTTTTTTTTCACAGCCTGCGGCTGGACTAACTAACCGGGTCCCGGTACGGGATTCCCGGGCCGGCACCCCCTTGAGATTAACCACATGATGAACGCCAATTAAGAATGTGAATACTAGTAGGTCTTTGGTATTACCATTCTTCTTTACTCACGCAAACAACGCGGCATGCAGGAACTGGCATATAATATTTGGTTCTAGTCCCCAGGGTTACGCTACTTTCGCCTCTGTCATCAAGCTCGTCTGTCGTTGCGGGTATTACTTGGAACTGACTGTATTTCACGTGAAACCTCGAGCGCCGGTGCGAGAAGGAGGGTATAGGTATGTCAGCTGGAAAGGCACGGCTGAAGGGCACTTACCAATCGTTCTCTAGTTAACCCCTTCCTCCTTCCCAACGCAACTTCGTCGTCGCCTCTCACTAGCTGTCGCCTCGACATTCGTAGCTCCCCACTATGACAGATATCGGCTCTCCCCGTCTCTTCAAGGAGGATATATCAACGGATGCGTGTTACTGGAACAACATAGACAGCATTCTTGCCCAGCGCTCAGAGGTAGTCGACAGTTGTTTTTGCGACCACTTTCCCTCGTCATCGCACCTTCATCCCGTTATCGCATAGCATCTATGTCTCCACACCGCCTCGTCGTCGTCGCCAGTCGCCCCAAAGCGGAACCCTACTCTACGGGACCTCGGACCATCTGGGCGCGGCTAAGAAGAATCTGAAAGGCAAGGTCGTGCATGAAGTAACCTTTTAGATTTAGCTCCAAACCCAGTCTTCATGCCCATCCGTTGTGATGCTGGGTCTATTGATAACCTGTGAAGAAGCGATAAAAATCGATACCTTCAGTAGCGTCCTGGTCTTGGCAAGTTCTTGGCGTGTATGACTGTGGAGATGGGAATGCAACGTGAATGATAAAGGAGTACGTCGAATTCACACAACCGGCGACGCTGCGCCGGACAATATTTTAACAAAGTCCAGGTGACTGCCCATGCTCGAAATTCTGATTGCCACTGCTGCCTACACGTCTCCACGCATTTTGGACACGCTTTTGCCCAACTTGCGCTTTAATCTCCAGCGCCGTAGATGCATTCCGGACCGACAGTGGACTCGAGACAAGAATCTTATTCGCTACCTTTCCATTAAATCAGCCAGATGGTAACCAATCCGCGGTTCCCTTTGTTCGTATCAAAAATTTGAGCCTGCGATGACGATGGCAAAATGAATTCCTGTTTGCCTCCTCCTCCCTGGTAATGTGAACCACCCATTTGGATAATAAGGCAGTGACTCTGACGTACGATACCCTTTTTTTAGCAAATATCAATTCATGCACGGAGCTGTCTAAATCCCAACCAAGATATTTATCAAACTCAACACCCCGCACAACTGGAAAAGGGTACAAATACTTAGCAGGCTCTACAGGTATAAAATCAAGGCGACGCACCCCCAAACTCTCCAAGCCCCAAACACCAACTCGAATTCTCGTGCATACACACAATGAAACTCCTTCCCCTCATCAGCCTTGCTCTTTCCTTGAACACGTTCACCGTCTTGAACGCGCTTGCCTCTTCCGTCGTCCGAGCTCGATCCCTCGCGACCGTCGACGAAGCTACCAAGCGTGAGCTATTGAATCTGCTTCCCCGTGATCCTCTTCCTCCCGGTCAAAGCGCCATTATTCTGTGCGACGGAACCTCCCGCACTGGTAATTGTTATGCCTACGAAGCCGCAGTAGGGACTTGTAACGTAAGTCAAGATTTTCATTTTTATCCGTCAGAATCTCACTGTATAAATATCATAGGCCGTCCCAGACCATTTCCAAACCAATCTCTTCTCGTCTTTCGCCAATCAAGGGGACGTTTGCTTCCTGTACACCACGGACTCGTGCACCGCCAACAATTGCGAAGCTTGCGTCGACTATGATGGCTGGAATGACATGACGAGCGTCAGTACCTTTGAATTCCTTCCACATGATCAAGCTCACAGATTTTTTTTGTATAGTTTGCTGCTGTCTATTCTTGGAAGTGTGTAGTCGCAGATAGTAACGGATGCTCGGACGCAAACTGCGTTCATAAGTAGATTTTGAGTGTTTTGAAGAGCAATCTGGACGGTGCTTCGGTATTTGTGATAGTAAATGATGTATATATGCCATAGTGTCTGGGTGTGTTGAATCCGGAAGTTCACCAACTACAGTACGTGGCGCAAGTTCCTTTCAACCTCCTCAACAACAGCCACTTCTCAAAAGGTGCTGACTGGCAGGGTCACTAATTCAATAGTAGAGAATAATGTAGTAATAGAAAGTCTCCTGGTATGGTATATGCAGTCGATAAATAGTAATAATGTAGTCATCTAATCATAATCGTGGCCGTAAAATATTAGTCGTGAAGTAAGGTAAATCAAAAGAATGAAATAAATAGTCCGTATACCTCAACGCTGTAAAAGAGGCTTGGCCGACCATCCCAGCAAGAGCGCAAAACCGACCACCAGCCACGCAAGAAGAAGCCCACCATCCCCTACGCACATGCGGACCCCAGCGCTAGCCTTGGTGCCGTTATTTGCCGAAGAGGTCACATCGTCGTCCACCGCCTTGACCATCGAGGAATCACGCAGGATCGTTGCAGGCAATGTAGGCTGTGTCTCAATCTTCCCGGAGCCGAGCATCACCTGAACGCCGACGGAAGGGACGCCGTTGACAACGACGAACAACCACGCGGGGCCGGGGGCGATGATGGCAGGGTTAGGAGGGAGCTGTGCGACATGGAGAACGGCAGTGTTGTTGCTGAACCCGGTGTAGGTAGATTGGAGCTGAAGGAGACGTTGGCCCATGTTCTTGTGTGACAGGGTGTGTTAGCAATTATATCAGAATCAAAGAGAGAAGCACGTACAATAGCGTGGGTCGAAAATCCGGTTTTGATAAGGACGACCGTGGCCCCAACCACATTGGCGACGTCGCCGAACAGATCGGCGGAATCCAAGCTGATATCGAAAGATGGCCCACCATACGAAAACTGAGCGATCAGACCTTTGGGCTGAGGACGCCTCATGTTATAATACTTGGGGAAGAAGCGCTCGGTGCGATGTTCGGACGGGTATCGCAGCTCGGGAAGATCGGACCAATCAGAGTTGGGATTTGAACCAGAGATGAATACCGAGCCTGAAAAAAAATCAGTCGGAGAACTCCAAAGGAAACGATTCTAATAATCACCGTCAGGAAGGAGGGTTGCCGACGAATGATACATCCTAGCAACGGTACTGGGAGAAAAACCATCGCTCGACCATTGTTTTCCTGCTACTGCCTTGGGATCGTAGATGAGCGGGGTCAGAACCGGATCGTCCGCATACGACTAGCCGACAGCCCAAGTATCGTTTCCGTAGCCAGCAGTGCCTATATATAGCAGATCAGCGTTGACGATGAGAGCCCTCAACGCGTACACGTACCCTTTCGCGCACCATTGAGAGCCAAGACTGTTTGATCGGGGAGGAGGATCAAGCTTGTGAGCACACGCGGCTCCGGGAGGGGTTCTACATCTCGGTATTTTCCTGCAACGTCGGGGGTGATCTGGACGCACGAAGCAGAAGTCGGGGTCTCCTCGCGTTGAAGCCAGGGGCGCGCCACCTAAATCGTTCACCTTAGGGACGCCCAGTGCCGTGAACGCGGAAAGGAGCTTACTGGTCAGTTGGAACGTTGGAACCGCCACAAAACATGATAGTCGCCGTGTAATTGTTGTTCGGAGTAAGAGGCATCATGGTGGTGCCAGCGCTAGCAGGATAGGTCCGTACCGCTGTCTTGTAATCCATTAGGATGGTTTGCCAGTTAGATTGTATCAGCAGCTTTCCAGAGGGAAGGAGCCAGGTGAGCGGGAAGAGGTTGGTCGGGAGGGTGTTTTCAAGGAAAGGGGAGCGGAAGGGTTGGCCTCTGGATGGGTAGAACTCGTACGTGGGGTTGTTCTGTCCTGGGTCGTTGACGAATCCTCCGGTCCTGCAACCACCGATCTGGATGGAGATATCAGCTGGAATAAATTACAATTAACGGAGCGACGTACGATAATGAAGCTTCCATCCTCAAGAGTCTCCCTACGAGGCCGGTCAGTAATCCCATTGGAGTGTCTAACGAGTACTCACACTGTGGGGTACCATCTTTGATCAATCGCAGTAGGCGAGATGGACCACTGCATATTGCCATCAGGACCTTTAGAGAGCAGACGAACACTATGACAGGCCTTGATCAGAACAGACCGACTTGATAAGATGATAGACTCACGAGTTGCGGCCATCGAGATCATTGTATGGCCCTCCTCCATCCTGGCGATCAGCCGTCATCCCGCCATACGTCACAGCTTGATTCCCACCGACGATGGACCAAGTCCCGTCTCCCATCACGCCACCACCCTAAAGAAAGCATCAGCCACACACACGCAAACCAAATGACCAAAGAGCGTACCGCGCAAAACGAGTTGGTCACAACCTCCATGGCGTGCTGGTCATTATTGCGGAGATCCCATTCTAGCGCGAGGTCAGATAGTGTATGCGCGCAAAAAAGGTGGCTGACCTTGCGCCCAAGCAGGATGACCATTGATCTGACCGGGATTGCTCTCAGCTCTGTCGGTGATATAGACCTTATCGAAAGATCCAAGAAACATCTACGCGGAATTGAGTAAAGGCGTGTTTGCATGCACCGTCGAGTTACTGACCTGCTGTGCGTTGACGAGACTCTTACCGAGGATCTCAAAAGTGCCTGGAACTCCATGATGAGCGGGTTGGGGTGGTTGGGGTGCCTGTTGCTGGGCGATGGTGGCTGGAACGGCGAGGGCGAGAGCGAATAGATTGTGGGCGTAAAAGTTCTTCATGTGGTCGTCGTCGAGGATTAGGTAAAGATGTCGTTAAATAGGCGTTATGTCGTTAGGGTATAGTGTCTTGAGGACAAAGAGAACAGCGAGGAGGGGGGAGGCTAGAAAAGGAGAAGAAAAAACAGAGAAGATGGTGGTAGTTAAGGAAGAAGGGCGAGATCGAAAACTCGCCTCTAGTCAGCCAGTTCTGTCACGTGTGCGCGTCGTTTCCATAATTCGGGAGAGAAATTCTCCCAAAGCTTTTCTTTGCTTCTCATCTTTCCAAAGAGGATGAAATTCGGAGGTGAGTAAGTATTTCCAATTTCTTGAAATCATCTGCGGGCGAGTCGAACTCCGAGCACCGGCAGCTTTGATGGTGTAAAGCCCAGATTGCTCTTCAATTACCCACTACGACGATCACAAAGAACGGTCAGGTTGATTGCCAATTCATTCAAGAATCAAGGCTTACGGGATACGCCCTCTGTCCAGAAGCGATAGAAACAATCGGCTTGGGAAGGAGACTATGATCTTCGTGGGCTGCCCGCTGGACGAAAGAATCGAAGGCTTTATTCGGGCTTTTATACTGTACTAATCCAATCAATTCGTCGGTCACGCGTCACAGGGGGTCCGAAATCGACGAAATTCTAAGGGGTCACAGGTCACAGGGGCCAGCGACGAAACCACCAGGTCAGTCGGAAAATAAGCAAAATTGGGGGTCCTTTTTCATTAGAAATCGATTTTTCCCCCTCTAAGTCTCTCTAGCGAAGTTATCTGAACTATTTAAATTTATCTATGTACAGAGGGCTACTCCAACATTTCGACGAAATTTTCAGGCAGTCACACCTTCCCCGGTGACGCGACGAAACCAAAATTTCGTCGCGTCGGTCACAGGTCACAGGGTGCGACGAATTGATTGGATTAGTACAGTATATCATGATCGTAAACTTCATTTCCACGCTTGTGCGATAGAATTCGAGGAAGCGTGAGGTTGTTTGTGTTAGGGGTATGGAAGGTCCGTTCATATAAATCACTTGACACTCGCTAGATAGCAAGAACGAAGCTTACTTTGCTGAGCTCAGAGCTTGGCGCACATAGTGAGGATGCATCTAAAAATAAAGGTTACAGCTGGCGAATCATTCGACCAGCTAAATGAGGTCATGATGAACGAATATTCAACGGAAATGCCTTTTCTCCTATTCCGGACGAAAGAAGACCGCACCAACGTTTGCAGTATGTACCCACTGTCAGACGCGAAAACGCCACAAGATGCCCAAGAAATATCTAGTCTATGAATCATAGCTAGCAAAGTATAACAATGAATCCTTATGGTATAACCGCCTCAATCGTCCTCGTTCTAGTATCCTTCAGAAATGTCACCAAATCCGTCCCACCAGTCCCCTTGACCGGCTCCCTCCCTTTCCCCTCCCCTTGCAACCCCTTTGAATTCCTTAAACTCGCCGCTCTCCTCGCCGGACCCAATATATACAAATGCGCAATAATCATATGCGCATCCCTAAACTTCTTCAAAGCGCCCACAGCCCGATTATACGCCCCCTCCAACTCCCCATCCCTCGCCCCAACCACAAACTCCCTCAACGGGCGAGGGCTCTTCATGAGATGATCAAGGAACAACCGATGTTTTCTGGGCATGTACGATTGCATGCGTTGCATGAACGATGGATTGCCGTGGTTCACACCTAAAAAGGAGTCCAAAGCGTGAATGAGTGAGCTCTGTCCCGCGCTGGGACCAGATAGCTCCTTCGGGACGAGAAGCCCCTCCTCCGCCAGCCCTTCATACACCCATTTCCGCTTGTTCGCGTCCGAGTCTTCACCGCAGAACCACGGTCGTACTTGGTTATAGTACGTATCTGGATCACAACCATTACGGACGTCATTCATCAACGCATGAAGTTCGTCAATGACGCTGGAGAGGGTGGACAGGTATTGGGTGACGTGGCGCACTGCAATGGAGTCGTTCACGGATGTCTCGTCCATGGTTGCACGTACAAGTTGGAGAGCCTCGACGCCGCGCAACTCGATACGCGCAGAGCAGAGATAAAACTCCTCTTCGTCTCTCAGTCCCGTGAATAGTGTCTGGGAACGGACGTTGAGAGGTGTTGGGAAATCTTCACTGGTACATATGACCCAGTTGTACAGGACGGTGTCGGAGAAGGTGAGTAACGGTGGGATGTCGAGCTTCTGAGAAATGCGGACAAGAGGAAGAGATATGGGTTTGGGTATACAGATGGGAGACGTCAGAGGCAGAGTGTGGATGTAGAAGTGAAGAATATAAGTTAACACAAGATGGGCTCGACGTAGAAGCATGGGCGAATCCAGTTCGCAAATGGGTATGACCGGCAGCTG